GCCTTGTTGCCAGGGGGTTACAGGAATATCCTGATTCTGCTAGATTCTGGTTCAACAAAGACCATCATGTGAGGTCTTAAATGAAAACCAGGGTCACACTGGTTGTTAATACCATTGTGAAGTGTACATACAGTATACGGAAAATATGTTTTTAGATTCAGTATCACAGCAGAGGTGGAGAAACAGGTTTCCTGTCAGATTGTTTATTCACCTGTCTCTCTGTCAGATGAAAGCTAACACAACGGACATCCATCTACAGACGAACGTATGGAAGGAATGTGAAGTCAACAGGGCAGCACCACATAGGAAAAGAAGCCATGGGGGAGATGGGGGGGTTATACTGTCTGAGTAGACAGTAAACGGGGGAAGAGGGGAGGGATATAGGTAGGAAGCAAGGAAGACTTCCATCATAATGACCCAGACTGGAAGCAGTCACAGAGATGAGTACTGGACCTTCTCAGTCGAATCCAGATTCATCCCAGAACTGCCATCAGTCTCAATTGCAAACTGTACTCAGGCCAGGCATTTATGATTACAGTCACAGTGAAGTACAGGAGAGAGAAACTATGGGTCAGATCCTTAGCTGATGACTTCAACAGAGCTATGTCAGTTTACACCAGCTGAGGATCTGTATATACCTGTCCAGGCAAAGAATTAGATTATCTCAGAGCCTCAGGAATGTAAGAGAACCAAACCAATCTGCAGGCAGGCAGATGCCACTTACCCACTTAGAGGTCTTGTTTTCCTAATTTCAAAGAACTGAGTTCCTGTGTGATTGTATCTGGATTTTGTCATTTAAAGTAAAGTAACTTTAAGAAAGACTCAGACAACAAAACAATAAAGCTCACCAAGGTGATGGAAAGTCTCTTCTCACTCTCAAATCGTAATTTCCGCTGAAAGCATAAAGCAGGTACTAAAAAGCCACCGACTCTCATGGCAGAAATTAAATCCTATATATGTGAAATAAAACTGAATTCTATTTTCTGAATCTCTATTTTCTGTGAGGAGACGCAAGTGAAAGAGGTTGTTAAATCTGATCCAAATATTAAATGCTGCAAGAGATAATTATTAATTTTCTTTCCATCTCAGATCTCTCTCCTGTTAGTATGGGGAAGGAAAGAATCACAATGGAAAAGAGAAGTAAAGTTTATAAATCTATCTAGAACAGTCCACCTCATTCATTGTTAAAGAATGCTCATAACCTCCCCTTCATGCAAAAAGAATCGTGCTATTCATGTAGGTTTCCCTATAGGCAACATGTGGCTGATAATTTCCAAATATAAACAGATGCAAGTCATTCTCCGTGACAGCAAGACAGTGAGAACATCTGTTAACAATATGCGGAGAGGAATGAGCCACAAGCTCATAGCACACAGAACGCTAGTGGAAAAACAAAATGTCAGGACCATTTCACTGAATGTACCTCTGACTCTCAGCACCAGTGGTGTGAATTTTCAGAACAACTGAGCACCCGCAGCTGCCACTGACTTCAGCTGGAGTTTTGGATGCTCAGCACTTATGAAAATCAGGCCCTACAGACAAAACAGAGCCTGAAGTCTGAGCTGGGTTGCCCTTACTCGGAGCATTCTGAGTGAAACAGAGGGGCATGATAGCCCTCCATGAGAAATCAAAACCCTGCATTTGAAACCCAGCAGACTTTGAAGCCTGTTTAGGTCTGGATCCAAATGTTGAGTTCTCTAGGCCATCTCTAGCACCTACCAAGTAGAGTGGTGTCTACTTCGTAAATTTAAAAATCCCACATATGCATTTCATAGTGTGACAGAGCCTCCTGTCTGCATCACACCGTTCCTCCCTTTAATGCATATTAACAGAGCTCACTGTGTCTGAGTAGCAATCATGCACCAAGGAGTAAAGAAATTCCAGGTCCAAACCTAGCCCAAATTATGTGCTCTCTAAACAACAGGTTAGCCATGCCTCTCCCGCTCAGGTTCAGCTGCTGCTGTAACTTCTGCTAGTGCTTTGATCTTTATCGCTGCTCTGCCTGGCCTACCAAACTTCCTGCTATTTTTGGATACTCTTCCAACTACCTGTTTTCCCTCCAAATGCTCACCAGCCCCTCATGTGCCTTTGTTTCAATCTCCACTGCTTTTCCATCTAATAAAGACCCGCACAAAAAGTTACAAGAGGGCAGAAATAACTGGCAAATGGTGCAAGATGAAAGAGGCTAATTCAATATTTACTCCTGAGGGCATTCTGCACCAAAAAATTTAAAATGCTGCGCACAATATTTTAAAATTCTGCACATTTTATTTGTCAAATAAACGTGGAGGCTCCAGCTTGGCATTGGGGAGCACAGGCCACCGGCTGCACAGAGGTGGGAGATCACTGTACAACTTCCCCCCTCTCCCCCAGGATACGGACTCAGCAGTGAGGCTTCACCCAACCCCGACACAGCACAAGGACCGGACCTGCCCCCAAAACACCCAAGGGCCCTATCCCTCCATGCCAAGTGCACCAGGTGTGGGCAGGCAGGCTCAGCAATGCAGGATCCAAGAGTGGAGGGCTTAGTGTGGGGGCATCCAGATATGGGTTGAAAGGGCTCTGTGTGGGGCAATCTGGGTGTGGGGGGCTTAAAAAGGTGTGTGGGGGGTCCAGATGCTGGGGCAGTGAGGCTTTGGGTTGGTGATCCAAGTGCAACTGCTTGGGGCTCGGTAGGGTGGTGATCTGGGTGTGGATGGCTTGTTGGGGTGGTCTAGGTGCAGGGGGAGTGGGGCTCATCGGGGGGGGTTCTGGGTGCATGGGGGGTGAGGCTCGGCGGGAGGGTCTGGGTATGAGGGGGTCTGGATGAATGGGGGTTGGGCGGATGGGGGAGCAGCTCCCCGTACAGGGATCCCTCTCCCTGCAGCTGAGGAGTGATAAGTGCAGGAAGCGCGGCACGGTGGGAGCAGTTTGTAGAGCTTCCTACAGCTGGGGCAGATATCTGGGGGTGGGTCTGATACAGCCCCAGATGCCGTGCCGAGGAAGAGGAAGTCCCGTCCTCCCCTGCCTATCCGGGACTAACAGCTGAGCTCGGCGCAGGGCAGGAGCCACCAGCCGGATCTTCGCCAGTCCTGCCTCCTGCCCCACAGTAATTTACCTCTCTGCCGGCTGCCCTGAGCACCTGAAACATACTGCTGGGGGTCGCATGACCGCTCTTGTGGCTTCTCTTTGCTTCTCCGTCAGAAAGTCAATTTTCTGTTGAAGCAAAGAAATCTGCGGGGGACAAATTTTATGCATGCGCAGTGGCACAGAATTCCCCAGGAGTAAATATTCTGGCCAGTGACTGCTCATTCCATCACCCTGCCCATGTGCCGTGGAAACACGATCAATGTTCAGTGGTGGGGAGAGAAGGGGAAGAAATGCATGTAAGGTTCTGATTAAATCCATAAAAGCCAAGAAACTGAGAAGTGACTCTCCCCTAAGCATCAAGCTCTACCCCAGGGCATGCTCACAGATGTGCAGGCCTCACGTCGGGGGGGAGGGGGGGCTGGTTTGGAGAGGTCAGGACCAGGTCTCCATCTCCATTCCTGGCACTTTGCTTCCCCGTGGGGAGAGCAGCAGCAGCAAAAGTCCCCAAGCAGAAATGCAGCAGGGGCCTCTGTCTGTGTGTTTTGCTTGAGCAGTGGCTCAAGTTGAGGGGAGAAGGAAGCCACTTGTATGCCCTTCTGGAGTCCACTCTCAGGTAGCTGAGCAAGTGCAGCCCACCTCCTGGCCCAGGGGCAGCCGAATCCCTCCCTCAGTGAAAAGCGTTAGCTGTGGCTGAGAAGGTGAGGGTCAGATTCAGCCTGGAGGGGAAAAACGCGGTAATCACAGACTGCAGCTAGATTGGGAAAGGGGTGGATAGTGGCAATGCAAACTGAAAGTGAGCTATCGGGAGAGGCTGGAATATATTACTCCAGGCGCCGTGAATGCTGATCATTTTGAAATTGGCTTAGGAGGTTGTTCTGAACATTCCTATTCATCTATTGAATTGGCACTTCAGTTAAATTCTGCTCAGTGTCACTAAGAGCTAATTGTGTGGCCCTGAAGACCAGAATGAGGAGCTCGACACTTAGGTGGTGTCACAAATCTCCACAAGTGCTGGCAGAGTGGGAGTTTTTTCCCTCCTGAATTATCCTCTCCCTTTGCGGCAGCCTCGTGTTTCAGTAAGTTACCCTGTGGGTTCAATGCAGAGTGTAATGACTCTGCCACCCACCCTAGGGCCAAACTCAAGAAGGATACTGCAGCATCTTCATGTAATTCTGTATTGCTTGAAGCCATTCTGGGATAGACATGGAGAGCCTGTAGTTTGGCACTGGCGGCACTGAAGGCTGAAAACAAAAAGGATAAAAAGATGATATTGGTTATTGCTTCCAGGACAGCAGCTAGAACAATTCAGCTCTCAAGGCTGGTGCTTAAAGGGATACAATTCAGAGTTTAGGGCCCGAGAGTGAAAACCCCATATGAAAGCAATCAGCCCCATGTAAATAGTGCAGATTCTGATCTCGGTTACAACAATGTGAACTATACGTTCACTGGAGTTACCCTGCATCTTCTCTGGTGGGACCACTGGCATGAGGAAGGGGCAGCCTTTAAATATCATCCTAGACTGAGAGATCCTGGCAGAGAAACCAAAAGCGTTTGCGTTTTAAAACTAGAAAAACCAATTTCACTCAGATTAATGGAATCCCAATGCTGGATTTGTTCCGGACTCTTTAGAGTATTAACTTCAATTTTAATCTCTGGTTTTATCTATCTTGAAAGAGAGAGAGAGAGAGCGCGATGAATGGAGACAAAGAGCAACTTTGACAATACAAATTTTTCCATCTGCTGGTGGTCAGGGCTCGTTAACGGAGTGCAACACTGGACCCTAAGTCTGCTGGTAGCGACAAAGCTCAAGGATTCATCAGGCAGTCCCAGCTCAGCTTTTGCCGTACTGTCCTGTCACATTATAATGGTCGTGGGGGACGGGGAAGGGGACTGCCCTCACCTGTGACTAATTAGCTGCCTTCCCTGCTGAGGCTGTGGGGCTAGGGCTCAGGTGACAGCTTGAAGATCAGTTGGGGCCAGATTTTTGAAGTCAATGGGAGTTAGGAGCTTTTTGTAAATTCCACTGGGCACCTAAATATCTTTAAAAATCTGTCCTCCAATTCATGAGAGACTCCCAGGCAGGCAGCCTGTGCAGTGCAATCCTGTAAGCGCTGGGTTAAAGGGCATAATTGATATGTTCAGATTGTGTTAACTAGTTTTTATTTTGAAGAAATAACTGAAGCCATGAAGAAAGGGACTGGCACCCTGTGGCTGGAGAGTGTTCTTTGCTCTGAGGGCTGGTCAAAGAGCTCACTAGTTTACAATGACCTAATCCCGACCCAAGACTTTGAGGTGCCAATTGATCTCAACCCCAACTAGTTTTCAGTGGGAATTTGGGACATTCAGTGGTTCACAGGAAGGACTCAGGCATTTACCGGTTCAAGCCTTTTGGGACAGGACCATCTTCAAGGTCAGTCCATGCCCATTTAAAGCCAATTTCACCAAATCAAACAAACAATGTTGCATCACTGCCTTGAGGAGACACATCTCAGTCTCTGCCCATCACTGCCAGTCTAGAACTTCCCCAGGATATTTACTAAAACTCCTTCTGTGCCAGCATTATAGGGCTCATTGTTTTACCCAGCATCCTTCATCCTTTTGTATGAGTGATTAATGAATTAACATGACACAATAAATAAATAAATAAAAGCCGTAACTTCACTAACCACTGCAGAAGGCAGTAGCCAGACACCACTATCCCTGCATTACAGACATACCAATTTGTTAAGCGTAAAGCACTTGTATTAGGGAACCAAGTTCAGGAGGAGCTGTTTATTTAAAATACTAGGCCAAACTTTTCAGAAGTGTCTAGCAATTTTGAGGACTCCATTTTTGGGTGCCTGCTTGAGACACCTTAAAGGGGCCTGGTTTTCAAAGAGTGGGCAATCAGCACTTCCTGGGGAAAAAGGGTCCCTTTAAAGTATCACAGACTGGGCACCAAAAAAATCACCACAGGTTTTGAATATGTAGGTCTTAGGGCCCAATTCTACCATCAGAAATATGATACAATTCCATGGGAGAAACAAGTGATGAATGCATGGATTTCAGTCTTTTGGGAACTGCACCCATGTATTTGAAGGCAGAATTGGCCTTAAGAATTACCTCCCCATACCTTGTGATGGTAGAATAGTTTCAGATTGTTTCCCAAACTCCTGAATATTTCCTGCAAATCCCTTCAGTAAACTACTATCCTGCAGCTGCACCCAATTCCAATTGCCTAATACATTTGAACTCCAATTTATCATTTTAAATTAGTTTGAATGCTGTACTGAACAAGTAACAACTGCAATCATTATAAGCCTAATTTCAAGTAGACAATGTGTATTTGTAATAATGATATTAACACAGACTGAGCAATTCACACATCCATGGTTTGGATATCAGGACAGCAATGTTCAGAAAGAGTGGGTGAAATCTTGACACTGTTCATGCCAATGGGGGGAGGGATAACTCAGTGGTTTGAGCAGTGGCCTGCTAAACCCAGGGTTGTGAGTTCAATCTTTGAGGGGGCCATTTAGGGATTGGGGGCAAAAATCTGTCTGGGGATTGATCCTGTTTAAAGCAGGGGGTTGGACTAGATAACCTCCTGAGGTCCCTTCCAACCCTGATATTCTATGATAATAGCAAAACTCCTACTAGTTTCAATAGGTCCTTTCACCCAAGGTGTTTAGAAGACTCAGACAGGTTAGGCCCAAACTATAGGTTTTAGACAATTGCTACTAGCAGCTAGATGCGCAATTTATTTATTTTTCTTTGAAAAAGGACCAAACAAAACACACATATACACACTATCCTCCAATATCAGTGACGTGGAAAAATAAAGTATGGGAAATCCTTTCAATGGAAAATATGACAGCCTAGGATCAAGACATTTATAATGTATGGTTACCATTTTGGGAGTTTGAACAAAAAACAAAAAAACAAAAACCCCAAACAATAAGACATTGACCAAACACAAATGTGTCTTTTAATGGTAACAAACACAGGTTATGAACCAGATTTGTTAATACTTGTATGGAAAGTTCATGTCTGTTAATAAGGTTTTTTTTTTTTTAAATAGCTTTTAGGGGAAAAAAATATTTGTCAGCATCAACATGGGTAGTGTAAAGAGACTCATTCAGTATTATAGTAACACTATGTTAAACAGAGTGATCTGATTATTATATCAATCTATAAGTTCTTTCTCTAAACAAAAGCTCACTGTTATGATTATTATTTTGTCTCTGATATTTACATGACAAGGATTTGTAAACCTGTTAGAACCTCCTAAATAAATTAATAGTTAAACAAAGAAATGTTTTGTGTCTGCCGGCAAAATATTCCCCTTTACTTCTTGCAACCCAACCATTGGGACACTGCTGCTGCCCACAGACCAGAAACTGCAGGAACTGCACACAGAGTAAAAATGGTGAAAAATAACATGGATTGTTTCAAATAATTTCATTTAGTCATTTATGCTGCTGTAAACGTAAGAGTAAAATCACCCCTTTCTTTTTTACGTTACACAGACACGCCCACACTTTGGGTGGGCTATTCAAAAGCACTCAGTTAGCCGTATTCTGCTCCCACTGTGAAAACTCCCATTGACTTCCAGAGAAGCCGACTCAGGCCAACACCAAGCACTCCAACCCTTTATGTTTGTACAGCACCTAATAGAGACCCCAATCCCGATTGGGGTGCTTGGATGCTACCACCCTATAAATAATCAATAATCTCACAGTGTCCCATTAGGAATGACTAGATACTGAAGTTTTGTATGTATATGAAGTCAGAGAATGCAGTTTAAAATGATTTTTATCTTTTTTTAATCATGTGAGGCGCACACAGGCTCTCACAGACAGACACTACATGGCTCAGGAAAGGTCAGATTTGCAAGACTGTTATGCTTGAAACCATTCCACTATCAATTATGTTAAAACATTAAGGATGGGTCTGCCTGGAATCCAGGAAGGCCAGCCAGGGAACCCTGCTGTGTCTCAGAACCACACAGCAGACAATTTTCCCCCAAAGTAGCAACCAAGGACCTGATTCTGCAAGGCACTGAGCACCTTCAACTTTCACTGACTTCAGTGGAAGCTGAAGATGTTCAGCATTTCACAGGCGGTGCTCAGCACCCTGTAGGATTGGGCAGCAAGGGGAAAACAGACGTTTGTTTTCTGTGGAGCTCTCCATGCTCCAGCCGGCACTTTCCAAGTGCTTACAGCTCAAGCCCTGCAAGAATACTTTCAAACCTTGTGTGCTCAAACACACAGGGAACCTACAGGCAGTGCCAGAGTGAGAGAGAGAGAGAGGAAGGTGGCTGTGGAGGCACTATGCCTATGGGTAATGACTTCAGGACACCGGGCAGCGAGCGCTTCTTTGCAAGTAGCTCTACAGGCACCATCCAGTGAGACCGGGTCCTCACCAAGACACACATCTCTGAGGCTACTAGTGCTGACGGCAGTGCTGGCTGGCCTCCCCCACTTCTGCTCCCAAAGCACAAGCCATCTGCTACAGCTACAGCCCGCTCAACCTCTTCCTCCCAATGCTCAGACCCAGATTTGGCCCTTCATGCTGTGACAGAATTCTGTTCACGCATTCAAGGGTAATATTTGTTGGATGTGATACACCAGGCAAAGCAAGCACCTCAGGTTGAAAGCCTCTTACAATAAAGCCTGGAAGCAAAACAGATTAGTAGAAGTTAAATAGCTTAACTCCAGACAGGCCACTCTTCAACTTTCTTCTCAGCCCCCAAAACTGCTAGGGAAAGACTGTTAACTAGAGCAAACAAGAGAACATGGATGCCCAGGACAGGTAACACTGAGATAAATATAGGTCTGAAAACCAATATAATGCAAGAGAAATCTATGGGCCAGCCTCTCCAGTCTGTTAGGGCAAACCCTGCTGAGAATTCACCTTCTTCACTACCAGAAGAGTGATAGAAGCAGCTTTATGAGTCACCCTCCTATCCCAGCAGAAAGAGAAGGAAGGGGCATGTTGGAGAATGGGGCGGGGAAAAGGGGTAGGGTTGCCAGGCGTCCAGTTTTTGATTGGAAAGCCCAGCTGAAAAGGGACCCTGGTGGCTCCGGTCAGCACTGCTGACCGAGCCATTAAAAGTACGGTCAGTGGCACAGCGGGGCTAAAGCAGGCTTCCTACCTGCCTGGCTCCCTGCCTGCCCTGGGTCCACGCAATCCTGGAAGCAGATGGCATGTCCCTGAGGCTCCTAGGTGCAGGGGCCACCATGGAGGCACTGAGCACTGC